TCCTGGCTCCTCCAAGCTTTATAATGGCAGTGAATGGTGGTCGAGGTTTTGAAGCTAAATAAAGTGCATTCATCCATCATAAAAAGTGCTCCAAACAGCTCCGGGGGGTTAATAAAGGCCTTCTGAAGTGAATCGATGCGTTTGTGGTACTCTAGTACACATGCGTCAAAGACTGGCAGAGAAGAAATTGTTGAATAAAGTCATTATTTTTGTTTTCTTTCAGTTGAACCACTGATGTCACATGGACTATTTTAATGATGTCCTTACTACCTTTATGGGCCTTGAACGTGGTAGTTGTGTTGCTACCTGTGCAGGGTCAGAACCTCTCAGATTTCATCAAAAAGATGAACGAATGTCTTACGGCTTTGGAACAACATGAGGGTGAGTAATTAATGACAGAATTTGTTTTTTTTTTTGGGTGAACTAACCCTTTAAGAAAGCATGCAGGATCACTTTTGATTGCGCAATGACTTCAAACACAAAAGCAGACTGCTTACTCCTTAGCGTCCTTTATGGCCCAGATCATCTGCCACTGATTTCCAGGGACTATCTGGCCATTGTCCCAGTATGACATTGGGTTTACGTGATCTGTTCCTTCTTAAACTAAGCTACCAGTATGTTCCCCTGGGCTGTTTAACAATCCAGATCAATCCAAGCACAGAGTCTCTGACAAACTGCACATTTCTCCATGACTTTAGGAACGATTCTACTTGCCCTCATCATAAAGTTCTATTACATTCCTTTAGTAAATGTCATCGGGCGTAGTGAAAACTGCACTGTTGCACACAGTAAAATCAAATAGACAACTCTTTCATTTCGACAAGGGTAAAACAGGTCAAACAACTGCACTATTATTTTAGAAAACTATAAAACGCTCTTCCTGTATAGAATATGTAAGGATATAACGTGGGTTTTTGTGCAGCTCAGGGCAGTGAGTGAGCATGCCGTCGTCTCTCTGCAGGTGATTAGCTATCGGCTATTCTCATCGTGTAGCCTCACGTTAAAGTGCCACTCCCCATTGAAACAAAGTGCTGGCCCACACTGCCCCCCAGTGGATTCTTTGAGTAATTGCGAGAATCATTGGCATGACTGAGCTGCATAAGGTCAAATTCAAACGCTAAGAATTGATTTGGTGTTTCTAGTCAAAAATGACCCGAGTGGTTCTGTACATCTCTCATTATACTATATTGAATCCATAAACCATGGGTTCAATCTTTTTTGTCGACTTGTTTTCCTTCAATTAGCACAAATTTTTTTATTTCTGTTTGGAAGTGACAGGGCATTGGTCTCATTGATCTGAGCTTATGCACCCCAGGTTTTGAGTGAAAAAAAAAACATTAATTGTGGTTATTTTTGACAGTGAAGTACATACTGCTGACATGTTTACCTAGTGTAGCTTCCTTACAGAAAAAGCAATAGAAACCATCACATAATTTGTAATGTTTTGGTGGTTGTAATGGCAATTGTATTGGTTTTAATGGAAACTGTAATGGTCCCTGTGGGTCTCTACTGGTAATTTGCCACCTTCTATTAGTGGCCTGTTAAAACTACTAAATTCTAATGGAATATGTCCCAAAACACACTACAGAAAATCATTTTGAATGGTTTTAATGGTTAATAGTTGATAGTTTGTAATGGTATTTGTAGTGGAAACCATTATAATTTCTGATGGTTTCTATTTTTTTTCAGCAAGGTTATCCACACCTTGTGAATGAAATTGATGCTAACACTGTCAAAATGTGCCATTGGAGAAAAGTATATTACAATGAACTTGTTCCAACTTCCAATCAATGTTTTTGGCCCTACAAAACCAATTTGGCTGAACTTGAATGGTTTTAATGGTTAATAGTTGATAGTTTGTAATGGTATTTGTAGTGGAAACCATTATAATTTCTGATGGTTTCTATTTTTTTTTCAGCAAGGTTATCCACACCTTGTGAATGAAATTGATGCTAACACTGTCAAAATGTGCCATTGGAGAAAAGTATATTACAATGAACTTGTTCCAACTTCCAATCAATGTTTTTGGCCCTACAAAACCAATTTGGCTGAAATTAATGGAAACTGTAATGGTCCCTGTGGGTCTCTACTGGTAATTTGCCACCTTCTATTAGTGGCCTGTTAAAACTACTAAATTCTAATGGAATATGTCCCAAAACACACTACAGAAAATCATTTTGAATGGTTTTAATGGTTAATAGTTGATAGTTTGTAATGGTATTTGTAGTGGAAACCATTATAATTTCTGATGGTTTCTATTTTTTTTTCAGCAAGGTTATCCACACCTTGTGAATGAAATTGATGCTAACACTGTCAAAATGTGCCATTGGAGAAAAGTATATTACAATGAACTTGTTCCAACTTCCAATCAATGTTTTTGGCCCTACAAAACCAATTTGGCTGAACTCGAAAACTAATTTTTTTGATTTTGGCTGAATGCTGTCAAAAAAATTGACACATAGCTGTCTTTTGTTACTTGCAGTTGTTTGTTGATGTCTGAGCATTGTAACAGCAAAAAATCAACACAAAAACTAATTTTAATTTATTTGTAAAATAAAATTAAGTTTAAACAGTGTCCTCAGTGAGCTGAAACTTGAATGGAAATTTAAAGTTATATTTTAATAATTGCCAGAAGGACTTTGGGAATTTGTTTTGTTTTGCTTCATAAATCTGTGTTAATCTGGTGTGTGAAGTTTTTGAACATAGTCTTTCTGCTTAGTGTCTTATTTTATGTGTGTGTGTGTGTGTGTGTGTGTGTGTTT